AAAAAAAAAAAAAAAAAGAAAATGGTTTAACTCTCAAAGAATACACTGAACTACATTTGAATTTCAGGTTTAAGGTACTCCCACCAGGAATGCGGTTCACTTGTCGTGGGTATCTGGCTCTAGGAGAGGATAGGGATAACTCTCATGTGATGGGATCCAGAAGGCAGAACAACATACTAAACACCCTTAGAGATTGCTGTTGATCTAATTTTGAATATCTCGCCTGAAAGCAATGCTTCTATTCACATCCTGGGTTCTAGAAGCCAGATCCATCTCCCTTTCCCTTCACATCTTCCTCCATGTCTGGATCCACTTTTGTCTTCCTTCCCTTGCAACTCTGCACAGTGACACTGCTTCTCACATGCTTTTTCTTTCCTTGTCTGGATGAGCAGAAGAAGATCATGATCATGATCTGCTGTATTATCCTTGCGATCATCTTAGCTTCTACCATTGGGGGCATATTTGCCTGAAAAAGGTGAGCCAGCTGTGGGGAGGGTGGGAGGTACTTTCACTTACTTTTATGTCCTTAGGGCATTTATTGTTTGTAGCTGGGTTCCCCAGATTTGGGTGGGATTAGGTGGTAGAATAGATAAAGGCTGGAGAGAACTAAGGAAAAAGTTTTCATAGAGAGAAAAATGTGTTAATAATGAGTTGGCAGTAGATGGGGAAGGCAGGTGGCAGTCCGTTCCATAACCAGGGCTGGTAGCAGAATGCTCTGTTTAGAATGCTTTGTAGGATGTTGATTTCCTGCAGCAAAATTTGGGCAGTGGTGTCTGGGAATGGCTAAAGGAGAAAGAATTAGTTCTTGCATTGGAAGCACCCCGAACTCCTTAGGAGAAGAGAGCCAGCCAGTAAATCCAGAGTAAATTAATTTCCTCTCTTTGAGGGTTCAGGCTAGTTAGTGCAGACTCGCTGAGTAGACTCTTTGCCACTGCAGGGGAAGGGCTTGGTGATCCTGGCTTCGGACATCCTGTTGTATAACCTGTGATTTTCTTCCCCCTCCGTTCTCTCCTGCAGTCCTCCCCAACGGAGCCTTGGTCGGCATTTTTCATCCTTCTTTCACTTCTGTGGTGCCATCACTTCTCCACTGCAGATTCCTCAACAGCTACTCCTCTTTCCATTATGAAACCTATGACACAGGGTGTCCATCAACCACCTATTGAAAGTTATGCAAAGGTAGACTTAGGACAGTACAGAATTGGGTGGGGGCGGGGCTGAAGGAACAGTTTGCACAGCAACATGAGGCTGGTTAGGAAGATGGTGTCCAGGAGGGGCTGTGGGCTGGAGAATACGTGCCTGTCCAGGAAATAAAACAGAGCCAGGCAGGTATTGGAGCACACCCAGCTCATCAGCACTTCATTTTCTCTTTGATCAACACCAGGCCTTTGTTACGTCTGCTCTTCAGGTTCTTCTAGGTCTCATCTTTGACCAGCCCTCCATCTACTTCCTTCTTCAGGGTCTAATAGTCTAAAGTGAAGATGGTCTAACCATAGGCGCCATGCAGGTCTTGCTCACAGCAGCGTCCCCAATGCTTAGCACAGTGCCTGCCACTTACGGATGTTCAAGTATCAGTTGACTTAATTACCTGTTAATTAAGCTCTGATTTCTGCTAACGGTTGAGTCCATGGGTTTTACTCTGAAACCTATTAAGGCATCAGTAGTAAATGGGTTTGTTAGTATCAGAGGCTGTGTGCAAATACCTGGGAAGGGGCTGATTCACTTATGCAAAAATAGGACAGGCCTCCCTTTACTGTGACATACAAAGTCCTTTTTTATGGGTGGTGATGGAGTTGACAGTCTCTCACTCTGCAAAGATTGGCTGGCCCCAGGATTGTGGTTCAGTAACCCGGTGTGGGTCCCAAACAAAAGAAACAGGTTTATACCGCAACTGAACTCCTAACAGTCATCAGCACCATACTCGTGAACCGTAGCAGAGATGAGAGGTCAGGTCAGAGAGGTGACAGGTGGCTACCACTCCCATGGTTTCTTACATGGTTTGTGGTGCTACCTGAACCTGATTTTGTAGGCCAACAATGTGTGTATAAAACTGTCCCAAACAATGGCCCCAATTCAAGGTTCAGATGTGTTATAATGCAATCTAGTAATTATATTACAAGAGCTTCACTAAAAATACATTAAGAACCACCATGTACAACTCTTGAGGACCATGTAACTGTTTAGATATATTTGTACTTTTGAAAGTAGATTACTTTCTTTGTGGGACATCTTTTTAAGAAAGTGGGATTAAACTGGTAAGAACAGATACTACACTTGACCTTAGCCAAAAGTGGGATTAAGAAAAAAAGCTGACATTTCAAGTCAGTGTGCTGTTTTCTACCCACTTGCAAAAGCAAATGGTTTACTATTTCTATCCATTTGTATTTCTTTCAGTTTTATAGGGGATAGAAAACTGCTGGCTAGCTCTGGAAGAGATGAATCTTGTTAAAGACAGACAGGAAGGTGGAACCATGGGGATCTGGAACACATGGGGCCTTTATTCATCCAACAGTAACTAGTTGAGTGCTGTGTGGCACACTGCACCGTCCTAGAACCTGCAGGGAAGCAAAGGTAGAGCCAAACACTCACCCTCCTCAGAGAATTTCAGACCTAGAAAAGGCCAGACAACAACCTTTATCGAAGTTCCTTGTGTTAAAAGGCAATGGTATGTTCCTTACTGTATTGTCCAACGTCCCCCTTTGCCTTCCAAGATTGAGAGATGGGTAGCTGGACATAAATAAATATCTGTTCAATCAATTAATGTATGTACTGCTATTTTTTTGCTTTCCAAAAAGTTTGTAACTAGTAAAGATATCAACTAGCTCCTGTACTATAAAAGGTACAGAATTCTCCCGCTGTCCAAAAGTAGAGCGTTCCTAAACTGAAATGATGTACAGTGAAGAACTACCATTTTGTAAAAGCGAAAATCTTCTTCAGATTTCTTTCAGTTTGAGAGAAACAGGTACTACTGTAGCTCTTTGGCAAAAGTGAAGCAATGTGAAGCAGACTTTGACAGCAGGGAAACCCGTGCAGATATTAAATCCAACTTATACCAGAGGTGGGAGATGGAAGCATTTGTTTCAGCCCTGAAGACATTCATCTTACAGCTGGGGAGAACTGGACCCCCTAACAGTCAGTGAAGCCAGCTTCATAATCATTTAAGGATTAGGAATGACCAATGAAAAGTTATATCCTGAGGTGATACTCATACTTTATTTGATATAAATATAATGCACTTAAAAAAAAATCAACAGATATTCTACAATTTCTCAGAAATAATTTACTCATATACTGCTCCTTGGTTAGATCTCAGAGCCACCCAAAGACTGTAAGGGTAGGCTGAGGGGAATAAAAATGTAGATTCTCTCTCTTGGTAGCCTTTGTACATTTATGTCTCCCATTCTCACTACACACGTTCAGGCATATAGAACTTGCCCCAGTACTGCCCCTTCTGGGTCAAGTCATACGGGCTCAGGAATTTCCGTATCCCAAGCATGTTGGCAGTGGCTATGCGCTCAAAGGTCCAGGGGTTTTGGTTGTTCTGTTCCCGTTCCTCCTGATCTTTCCGCATCTTCTCAAGAGTCTCACGGCTCACGGCCTTTGCTGGGAAGGGCAACTTGTGGGCAACCTGGTCCAGGAAACCTTGTACCTCTTTGAATTCACAACGCCCACCCACCTCTACTATGAGACGGCCAGCCTTCACAGGAGTCACGTAGTGATCAATGGCACCTTTGCCTCCCCCCATGCGCTGTCCCATACCCTTGCGGGTGATGGGCTTGAAAGGGGCTGGTACTCTCCATAAAGCAAACATGTTCTTGGGGTCCATAGAGCGGTTGATTGTCAGGCGCATCATTTCAAAATGGCCCCAATGGAGGTAACCACCACCCAGTGCCTAAAAGTGGATGAAAGAATTAGAAATACGTGGGGACTTAGTTATCTTTTATGCACTCTTTTATAGTAACTTAGCTTCAATGATATACATAAAAAGTTCTACTGTGTACCATGGAGGAAAAGCCTAGGGTACAGTAATAAATGAAAACAAGGTGGACCCATTTCAATGGATAACCAGGGAAGGCCTTTTTGAGGAGGTGGTATTTATTTAAAAGATTTTATTTGTCAGAGAGACAGCAAGAGAGAGAGCACAAGCAGGAGAAGCAACAGGCAGAGGGATAAGCAAGCGCCCCACTGAGCAGGGAGCCCTATGCAGGGCTCGATCCCAGGACCCTGGGATCATGACCTGACTTGAAGGCAGACGCTTAACCAACTGAGCCAGCCACCCAGGCATCCCGAGAAGGTGGTATATATTTATTTATTTATTTTTAAATTTTTTTTATTATGTTAATCCTACATCAATTTTTGATGTAGTGTTCCATGATTCATTGTTTGAGTGTAGCACCCAGTGTTCCATGCAGAACGTGCCCTCTTTAATACCCACCACCGGGCTAACCCATCCCCCCACCCCCTCCCCTGTAGAACCCTCAGTTTGTTTTTCAGAGTCCATAGTCTCTCATGCTTCGTCTACGAGGAGGTGATATTTAAAGCTGAGATGAGAATGGCATGAACTAGTCAAGGGAAAACACAACAGTTAAAGGCAGAGGAATGGCTTGGTGAGTGTGAGCCAAAGCCAGAGTGGCTGGAGTAGAGTGAGGGACAGGGTGTGGGCATGAGGTTGTGAGAGGCTGCCAGGGGCGGATCAGCAGCCTGTGGGGAAGGACTGTAAAATATCGCTCTGGCTGCCTGATGGGAAATCAATCCTAGTCCACACCCACTTGTGCAGCTACTGACATCAAGCCTCCGGGGAAGCTACTCTAGGAAGGAAACCGCTGTCTCACATCCTAAGTCATGGATAGTTTTATTTTCACCAGAGGCCTGAGCAGATTTCATACTCTGATTATAGGGGCCAATTAGGTAGCCTTCCTTCTCCTGTTTTTACATTATTTTCACTTGATGTGAAAAAGAAAGACACACAACTCAAATGTCTACTGGGTAGTGCACATCAGTTTAAACAGCAAATGGTGGCAGTTCAATAAAACCCGTGGAGGACGAGAATGAACTCCAAGGGCATGAGATTTTGCTAGTCCTGGCTTCCATCCTGTAGCTGCTTGACAACTCACTTACCAAGATTGCAAAACTGCCTTCTGTGAACTCAGTAGCTTCAGTAGAAGGTCCCCGGATGTCACTCAAGTTCTTAGGTTCCCTTCTCACTTTTGGCACGAGTGGTACCCTTTCAACAAATCTAAGCTTGGGCTTTTCAGGAATGGAGACATCTAAAAGGAGCACAGACAACCAAGAAGAAATAAAACCACACATCTCAAAGGATCCATTTTCTTCCTAGAAAGATTTATATCAATCAAGTGGAAATCTTAAAGTTACCACTGAAAAGTACTTTTAAAAGTACATTAGGTTTTCCCTGCGGATGCTTTTTTATTGACACCGGAATCTCTGGGTTATGATGAGTATTAATGGAGAGGTTTCTGAACCTTTGAAGATAGTATAACCTTCAAAGGAAATGCTCTCTGCCTAACACTAGAAAAGAGACCATCTGGGAATGTACAGAGATTAAGACTGTCACAGATAACACTGGCTAACTTTTCTTTCCCCCAATGTTTACTAAGTGCTAGACATTGAGCTGAAGGCTTGATGTGCAGTATCTCAATCTTTAAAACAACTTTATAACCCTGATAATTTTTTAAGGCTTCCCTTTTTAAAAATGTTGACCTTCTTAAAGTTTAACACACATAATCAAAGGGCCAAATAAAAAATGTACAGGTCAGGGAATTATCACAAAGTGAATGCATAAACACACCCACATTAATGGTCACCCTGCTCAAGAAACAGAACATTAGGCAAGTACCATTTTAAATCTCCATTTTATAAGAGGAACCTGAGGCCTAGAGATGTTTTATAATCTGGTCTAAGCCATCCAGTGAAAACAGCAAAGCCAGACAGTATGACTTTTTTTTTTTTTTTCCAAATACTACACAGCCTCTCTGGATGTTAATAGAGGTGGTGGAAAGAACACCACATTGTCCATGAAAATACCTAAGTTCTGCTCTGCCACATTCTTGTTAGGAAACCTACAACCTAGGAATCCTTTGATCTATGGTGTATTTCTACAGGGGCTTTTCATGCTGGCACCTGTGCATTTCCCACAATGTGCAACAGCTTACTATGTGGAGGGCGGGTGGATTGAAATGCACGCCAGACACGGTACATCTTTTTCATGTCGGACATTCCGACAAACTGGGGAAAAAATTAACTTCTAAGTCATTTAAACATGTCTATGGTAAAGGCATGGCTTTATCATGGAGTCAAATATAAAACAGGAGTCTTCAGGAAATACCAAATTATCAACTGGCTAACAGGCTTATAGAAACTGCCACCTGCTCTCCTCCACTTTTTTTTTTTTTTTTAAGATTTTATTTATTTGAGAGAGAGAGCGCGCACAAGCAGGGGGAGCGGCAGGCAGAGGGAGAGGTAGGCTCCCCGCTGGGCAGGGAGCCGGATGTGGGACTCGATCCCAGGACCCCGGGATCATGACCTGAGCCTAAGGCAGCCCCTTAACCGACTGAGCCACCCAGGCATCCCTCTCCTCCAGCTTCTATAAGCAGTTATAGAGAAATTTAGTGATGCTGTCTCTCACCTCCAAATCTGTATGTACTTCCAGAGCATTCAGTAGTTTCACAATTATTTGTAGAAGATAAAACCCTCTGAGGTCAAGAACACTTCCGTATTTTCTGTTTGCTTGTTTTTGTTTCTTTTTTAAGATTTCCAATATATTAAAGACATGGTAAATTATATTTACAAAACTGTGGTCTATCTTAACGTTTACACTTAACAAGTGAATGCTTTTCACATATAGTTATATGACTGCATACATGTAACATCCTTTAGGGAGAACATCAAAAGTTCAAATTTGATGGCAATGAGCCCTGGCTCGGGGTGGACCAGCGCCATACAGTGGGAGGCCATAGGGGAGATACCCCATTACACAGTTGCTCCGTAACAGCAGGGACCTTTGTGGGCCTCTCGTCCTCTGCTATATCCCGACCGTTCACAACACTTCTTGGCATACAGCATGCCCCCGATACATATTTACTGAGCGAGTGAACGGAGAAGAGGAAGCAGAAGAACTCGCCTACCCTCTTCCAGGTCCCATCAGAGAAAAGACAAACACGAAAGTGACAAGAGTTCTCACCCTCAAAAGTCGGCACCGGGAGCAGCGTCTTTAGGCCAGCACTGGCGGGCGGGACGGCCCAAGAATCTACAAAGGCAAATCAAATTAAAATCCGAAAGCGGTAAGACCTGGGCCTGGTACGACCCAGACCAAAGTCAGTCCTAACAGAGTGCCTTGATGGTGGGCCGCGGGTTCCGCTAAATGGGCTCACAGGCCCAGCACCAAGCCCCACCCCAAGGAAGCCAGCAGGGGTCTCCGGGCGTCGACCCCCCGCACGAGTAACCGCGGCGAGGGAGCGCGGCCCCTACTCAGCTCTGCGGCAATGGTCGGCGGAGCCGCCCAGGCGCCGCACTCGGGGTGGGGACGTCTTCTGAGGGACCGAGGGCCCCCTGACCTGACAGCCGCGCTCTAAGGAGCGGCGCTCCGGCTCGAGCCAGCAGCCGCCACATGGCCACGCGAGTCCGGCCGCCACGGGATCCCCAAGGCGAACGCGGCGACTCCCCGCACCTGACTGGGCCGGAAGTTGCGTTCGCAAGGGTCCGTTCCCCAGAGAGTCCCGGCGGAAGCAGAAGAAACCGGGGCGCGTCGCCTGCGTTCCCGCGCCGGCGTGTGCTAGCCACGCCCAGCGCCGCTTCAGGCTTCTGGACGTCTCGTACACTCCGGGGTCGCTCGCTCGCTCCCTGGATGCGGGCAGGCAGGCGGGCGGGTGGGGATTTCTGCGCTCTCCTACGCTGAGCGCCGTGTTGAGAAAGCCTGGCTTCCCTGAGCGGGTCGTGTGTCACAGAGCACTGCTTTACGCCGCTTCTCTAGGGGGCAGCTCAGAGACATTAGGAAAAGCCCACTGATTGACCATTGTTTGAGCTTTAGTGGGCTTGCAGTATGTTAGGCGTTCAGTACCTCGTCACTGCGTGTGGTCCTTTAAGGAGTTCAGGGGATAAGGAAGTCGTGACACCCATTTGCAGATAACATACCGAGGGTCAAAGGATTTAACTTACCCAGGGTCACACAGCAGGAAAACGGTAAGATCAGAATTTGAGTCTGTGTCACTCCAGGGACCCCAGGGACTGGGCTGTATCAAAACTTGATTATCAAGTTAAAATAATGCACGACTCTTCTGGGAGGATGTTGGGAAAGTTATTTTTATCCGTCTGAAACGTTTTAATATTTAGAATGAGAGAGGATCTTTCCCCAAGCTTCTAGGACACAAATGGGATTAACAAATTGAGACCGATGTCTGTTGTATTTAAATCACGCTAAATCTGTGCGTGGTCTTTCCCCAGAGATTAATTTCATAAATGGCAACAAATAAAACCTGTAATGCTTGCAAAGCTACTGGGAGAACTTTCTCTGTCCACTGTGTTAGGCACTTCTTGATGATCTGCACACTGAAGCTGTCTCAAAAGAGTTAATGGATTTTATTACAGCCAACCATTTCTGTCCTTTTGGAGCAGTTCTCTGAAAGGGTTTAACTGTCCCGCCTCCCAAGCCAGTGTCAGGTTCTAGACAGCTCTTCCCTGCTCCCTTCCACCCGAAGTCGGAGATCTGAATGTGCTCAGGCATTTAGAAATCTCAAGCTGAATATTGTGTAATTTTGTTTTGGATGGAAAGTAAAGTGTCAGAACAATCTCTTTGATTGGTCTCTAAGTCTTTTGGTGCCCTCCTCCCCAACTTCCACCTCGTTTATTTTAAAAGAAAAAAGTGAATTCAGAGTTTTACATTTAAATAGTAACTATGACAAATGATGTCTATTTTTCTTTGCAAGAGTTGTGCCACCTACAATGGAGGACACAAAGAGGAAAAACCAGTGATCCTATTCTTTAGGAATTTATGTTTAGGTAGGGACAATATGATGAGCATACAATTGCTAATGTTGAGATATCAGAAGAGAAATATGAATAAAGCGTTGTGAAAATGGTAGGAGGGACGGGAGGTCTTACCTGGTCCCTAAAAATGGTTTTCCCTCCTTCCAGTTCTCACAGCTCTTTATTTACACTTCTCTTCTGATAGTTCTATTGTATTTATTTGTAGGAAACTGATGTTCTGGGATGAAACGATTTGCCACACAGCTAATATGATACAAAGTAGGGATAAAAACCTTGCTGTTCTTACTTTTACGGGAATGGGTTTGCTAAAATCTCCCAAAAGTTGGTCTTCAGACCACCTGCATCAGATGTTACTGAGACCTTCATATAAATACAAGTATCTCGTCCCTACATATTAAGTCAGAAACTCTGAAGGTGGGGTTCAGGGATTCCTATTGTGAACTAAGCCCCATGGGTGATTCTAATGCCTAAGCAAGTTGAGAATCAGTCCTCTGAGCACTTTGAAAATTTAAAAAGCAGAGTAGAGCTGCAAAGCATTGTTTTTGGATCGTGCAGGTCTATATCCACTGCGATTTGTATTTTTTCCCATCTGTATGAAAGTTACCTGGCATCTCAGTTTTTAATCTTTCTTATTTTAAAATCACAAGATAACAGAAACCTGTAGCCTAGCCTAGTTCCAGGTCTGGTTGTTGACGTAAATGGCACCCACACACTTGTTGTCTGTGTCTGTGTACGCGTGTGTGTGCCCACTCTCTCATTTTAATAAAAAGACTGGGTTTTTGCTTATCAGATTCTAATCATAATATCATAGTGTAATAAGTCACCATGGAACTTCCTCACCCCAGGAAGCCCACAGAACCTTCTCAAAGGGCTAGTTAGTATTAGCTTCTTCATCGGTTTAGCTTCCATATGGTGTAGATCATTTCTAAAAGCAATGATACTGACGTGGTGTTTTGGAATCCGGGAGCAAACAGTCAGGAAAGATTTCTTGAGATGTTTTCAGTGCAGAAAAGGTGGTTTTTGTTAAAGCACGGGGACAGGACCCGTGGGTAGAAAGAACTGCACTGGGGTTGTGAGCAGTGACTGAATATGTACCTGCATGTTGGGAGGGGGTTAGGGATAGTGTCTCTAAGGTTTCCAGGAGCTTGAGGGGTCATTTACTACTGTCTAGCAAAAACTTAGTCAGGAGACCCTTCAAATGTAGATCAGTGGGCTAATGATGATTGCTGACATATCTTGAGGGTGTAGGGATAAAGGAAGTTTCCGAAGGGATTGATCTTCACCAACAATGTATAAGAGTGCCTATTTATCCTTGCTGAGTTTCCTTGCACACCTTTGTTTAGAGCTCTGCCAATATGAAAGGAGAGAAATGATATCCAATATTATGTTTATAACAGGCTGTTAAAACAGGATTGTGTCTGACTCAGCTTTGCCTGAAGCCCCAGTGTATGTGGTAATCCTCGCATTCCAGAGTGAGGTGCTGGGCCTTCTGGACAGGATTGATTGATTGATTTTGGATTTTATTTATTTATTTGAGAGAGAGAGAGAGAGGGAGAGTGCGAGCGATCAGGGGGAGGTGCAGAGGGGGGAAAAAATCTCAAGCAAACTCCATGAGCTGAATGTGGACTTGATCTCAGGACCCTGAGATCATGACCTGAGCCACAACCAAGAGTTGGAACCTTACCGACTGAGCCGCCCAGGTGCCCCCTGGGCAGGACTTATAAAGGAGGTGGTAGGAAATGGCTTTGTTAATTCTTAGCTCTCCATTTTCTTCCAGCCTGTAAAAAGCACTGGGAGGATCAAGAAAAGAAGTAGAGACTGGAGATTACATTAAAGATTTCTTTGGACAGATTTGTTGGTATATTGTGAATTCCACTCTCCCTCTCTAATGGCAAGGTATTGGGGTGCTCCATCAAGCTTAATAAGAAACATTTCAAGGCACTCAGCTTGATATGGGACCTCTGTTTGAGGGGGATTGATGTTTGACAAAAGTCTATGTCTGGAGGTTTGATGCAAAGTAGAGGGCTGCCATTGGGAAGTAGTTACATTTCCATTGGTGGTGGGTCAAAGGTGTGCATACCTTGTTCACCAGATGTGGACCCCCATGCAGTGTGCCGGTTTAGAGTTTTCTTATATCTCGTCTAACAGGACCCCACTGAGGATCAAGGACAAAGAAGCTGGAAGAGATATGATAATGGATGTCCAGGGCCTGAGGGAAGACTTGTATGCAACCAGCCAGTCATGCAGCAGAGATGAATTTGCATGCATCAAGATATCCTCGGCAGTTAGGGTATGTTGTGTGTGTGTGTGTGTGTGTGTGTGTGTGTGTGTGTGTGTTTCTCTGGAGAATCCATAAAGCACCCATGAGAGAAAGAGTATACTCTATACTGGGAACTGAGTCAACTACTGTTGGGTGTTGTATCATTTTACTAGGGCTGATGTAACCAAGTACCCCAAACTGGGGGGCTTAAACAACAGAAGGTTATTGCGTCACATTTCTGGAGGCCTGAAGTCTGAAATCAAGGTGTCAGCAGGGTTGGTTCCTTCTGAGGGCTGTGAGGAAGGGGCTGTCCCAGGTCTCTGTCCCGGGCTCATGGATGGCCATCTTCTCCCTATCTCTCTTCCCATAGTCTTCCCCTTTATGTGTGTCTTTGTGTCCAAATTTCCCCTTTTGATAAGACACTAATCTTACTGGATTAGGGCCCACCCTATTGACCTCATTTAACTTGATTACCTCTGTAAAGACCCTTTCTCCTAATAATGTCACATTCTGGGGTACAGTGGATGGGGGGTGGAAGTGGGGAGTAGGGGGGTGAAGGGGGTAATTGGGGCTCCAACACATATTGGTTGGTGGGGGGGAGGTGGACATACTTCAGCCCTTATCAGGTGCTATGCCTGTCAGTCATCCCAGAGAGGTCAGCAACAGAGGTGAGAGATGAGGGGTAGGGAAGGATCCTACATGACTGGTAAAAGTGCAAAGTGAGGAAATAGAGAACTTCCTCCCCGGCTGCCATTTTGTTTCCACTACAATCACCCTATCCAGAACAGGACTGAACTAGCAGAGGGATGCAGCTTCACCTTTAGATGGAATTCAGAATTGTGACTATTACACAGTATTGGACATTTTAATTACTGAAATCAGAATGTTTTCTTTTTTCCTTCTTAAATCAGAGAAATGAGCAGAAACCCCTCCAGCCTTACAGAGTTGGTTTGGAGTTTGGGTAAGCAGGAACAGGGTAAGCTAAAGTTGATTTTTTTTAAAAATCTTTTTTTTTTTTTTAAGATTTTATTTATTCATTTGAGACAGAGATACAGAGAGAGAGAGAGAGAGCATGAGCAGGGAGAGAGGCAGAGGGAGAAGGAGAAGCAGACTCCCCGCTGAGCCAGGAGCCCGATGCGGGGCTCGATCCCAGGGCCCTGGGATCATAACCTGAGCTGAAGGCAGACGCTTAACCATCTGAGCCACCCAGGCGCCCCTAAAGTTGATTTTTTTTTAAAGATTTTATTTTTATATACTCTCTACCCCCAATGTGGGACTCGAACTCAGAACTGCAAGATCAAGAGCTGCAGGCTCCACGGACTGAGCCCTCCAGGCACCCCTAAGGTTGATTTCCAATAGTATTCTCTGAGTCCTACTTCATATAATTTACACACTGGTTATACATTAGTTTGCAATTTTTCAATGACTAGTAATGATGAACTTTTTCTCCTACCTTTGTTCTCATGTTTT